AAAAAAAAAAAAAAAAAAAAAAAAAGGAAAAAAGTGATAAAGTACAAGTTTTGGTCATTTCACATGACCCTCGGACACTGTGACCGTCATAAATATGAATCAGTTGCCAAGCATCTGAATGTAAATCACAAGACCCTGGAGATGCTGCAACATTCCAGCTGATCAGCGCTTCTTCTAAGCTCAGTGGAAGCACCAGGATCAGTGCCGAGCTCCAGCTGATTGGTGCTTCTTCAGGGCTCAGCGGAAGCGCCAGGATCAGCGCCAGGCTCCAGCTGGAGCCTGGCGCTGATCCCGGCGCTTCCGCTGAGCCCTGACAGCCTTGCAGCTCCAGCCATCTCTCGCTCAGGCTTGTGCGGTGCTGCCACCAGTTCAGCTCATTCCCCTCCCCCGCTATCACTTTTCCAGGATGGTCGCGTACCACCTGCCAGGTGCCAATGTACCACAGGTGGTACCCGTACCACTGGTTGAAAAGCCCTGCCTTAAGGCATTCTTGTCAGTATCGTAATGCACATTGACGCTAACCAGCCCTAAGTATGTATTATAAAGGATTTTCAGGCTAGGTGGTTCAGGCCTGAACTGAGGTAATTTGTCAATTCCTTCTCCCAAGATGCTTTTTCAAATTCCCAGCCTAATATTTCCCATTTGGCTTTATGAGGTCAATTACATGTTGCCAACACTATCCTAATTTCTCTGTTGCAAAATACAACTGCTTTTTTCCCACAGACTATGAATTTCCAGAAAATAAATATGCAGTATAGAAATTATAAAGGGACGTGCTGGCCTTGCAGTTAAGATGTTAGGCTTGTCAACCAGAAGTCTGGCGGTTCAAGACCCAAGCACCGTGTGACAGTCCTTGCTCCCATTCTTGCCTCAGCTCCTGCCCATCTAGCAGTCCAAAAGCATGCAAATGTGAGTAGATAAATAGATACCACTTCAGTGGGAAGGTACAGCATTCTGTGCGCCTCGGCATATAGTCATGCTGGCCACATGATCATGGAAATGTCTTTGGATAACACTGGCTCCCTTGGCTAAGAAACGGAAATGAGCACTGCCCCCTTGATTAGATCTAACTGGATGGGGGAAACCTTTACCTTTATAGAAATTATGCCAGTGAACTGAGACCCAGGTTAAAATTCAAGTTCCCATTTGATCACAGGTGATTTGGGGCCAGTTATTTTGTTAGGTCAACCTATTTCAGAGAGTTCCAGGGGGTAAAATATGATAAGATGTACAATGTACATTACTTTGAGTTTCTCAGAAGGAAGGAGATAGAACTATAAAATATTTCTGTTCAAACCTACCAGTTGTTAACCTGAAGTAAGGTAAGATTTGTTTGTGCTGCTATCTGTTTCTTCTCATCTTCTGTTGGATATGGATGCTACAAAAAGAAAGATTTTCATTCTTCTTTTTGAATTGAATATTTAAAATAAATTGCATTAATAATTAAAACAATTCATTAGTATTTATTACAGCTACTCATATCCCAGTTTTTATAACCATTTGTCCAAAGAGGTTTATAAACAATATAACAGTTGCAACTAAGAATACCATACATGTTATTTAAAGCAAACATGCTATGATCATTCTTAGAGATTCAGCTAGAGGGGAGGGGTTGCTGCTGCAAGTCCAGGAAAACTGGTTTTATGTTGGGGATCATCTGTTTTCCTCCTTTTTTTTTTTTTTAGGGAAATTTCCCACAAGGCAATCAGTGGTAATACGTTTCAAGTTTCCCTTACTGTATAAAGGAAAATTAAAATTAAAAAAGTATTTAATACTCCATAAGCATTTTAGTAGAACTTAACAGTCCACTAATAAAATAAAATATGACCAGCTAAATTAATCTTTCTATAATGCATCCTGCAGTGACTTCAACTATTGCCATTTAATTCATTTATACCTGCTAAGTTCTTTTAATGCCATTAATTACAGGCTGTGATTTATTAATGTAATAATAATGTGAGGATAGTACTCAGATTTCCATTTCCCAGCAATTAAAATCCTGATGGTACTAATAGCCAATTTACAGTATTCATGATAGTGCCAAACTTTTCTTAAATAAAAATCACAGGCTCATAAGAAATCTTCTTCCTAAAATGCCTGATGCTAGTTTCCAAATTATTTTTATTCTAATTCTATTAGAATTCTCTCACGATCAGCATATTGATAATACGTCACTCCAAATTGATATTTCTGTGTAGATATTGAAGAAGGTAGGAGAAAAATGAAGTGCCTTTGGTTCCAACACTCCTCTCTGGCCCATCCCATTCAGGAAGGAACAGAAATACTCTAACACCATGCATCCAGTTTTAAACCCTTGCAAGCAGTCCAGAAAAATTCAGGCTTCACAGTATAAAAGCTGCTGAAAGAGGACAAATAGAATAGAATAGAATAGAATAGAATAGAATAGAATAGAATAGAATAGAATAGAAGAGAAGAGAAGAGAAGAGAAGAGAATTAGAATAGAAATAGAATAGAGCTGGAAAGGACTTTGGAGGTCTTCTAGTCCAGCCCCCTGCTCAAGCAGGAGAACCTATACCATCTCAGATAAGTGACTGTCTAGTTTCTTCTTAAAAATCTCCAGTGATGGAGCGCACACGATTTCTGGAGGCAAGCTGTTCCACTGGTTAATTGTCCTCACTGTCAGGAAGTTTCTCCTTAATTCCAGGTTGCTTCTCTCTTTGATCAGTTTCCAACCATTGTTTCTCGTCCTTCCCTCTGTGCTTTGGTGAATAACGTGACTCTTTCTTTGTAGCAGCCCCTCAAATACTGGAATACTGCTATCATGTCTCTTCTATTTCTTCTTTTCTTTAGACTAGCCAAACCCAATTTCTATGTCATATGTTTTAGTCTCCAGGCCTTTGATCATCTTAGTTGGTCTTCTCTGAATTTTTTGTAATCTCTCCACATCTTTTTTGTGATATGGTGACCAAAATTGGCTGCAGTATTCCAGGTGTGGTCTTACTAGGGTTTTATAAAGTGGTACTAATACTTCATGTGATCTTGATTCTATGCCTCTGTTTATACAAACCAGGATTGTATTAGCTTTATTGGTTGCTGCTGCACACTGCTGGTCAAGTGATCGTCCGCTAGGACTCCAGTAACTCACAGTTACTGTTTTTGAGCCAGATCTCGCCCAGTCTGTACTTGTGCCTTTGATTTTTCCTGCCTAAATGTAAAACTTTGCTTTTCTCCACATTGAAATTCATTTTGTTGGATAGGGCCCATTCTTCAAGTTTGTCAAGATCTTTTTGGATCCTGGGTTTGTCTTCTGGGGTGTTGCTACTCCTGTCAGTTTGATGTCATCTGCAAATTTGATGAGTTCCCCTTCAATTCCCTCATCTAAGTCATTTATGAAGATATTGAAGAGTACTGGGCCTAAGACGGAACCTTGTGGTACCCCACTGCTTACTTCTCTCCATGTGGATGTAGTGCCATTGAGGACTACTCGTAAGGTTTGCCAGCCAGCTCCAGCTCCATCTGGTGGTGATGTACTCTATTCCACCTTTTTCTAGCTTACCAAGGAGTAGGTAGTGGTCTACTTTTATCAAATGCCTTACTGAAATCTAAATATACTACGTCCACAGCATTTTGCTGGTCTACTAGTTTAGTCACTTTATCGAAGAATGAAATAAGATTGATTTGGCATGATCTGTTTTTAACAAACCCATGCTGGCTACTAGTTATAACTTTGTTTGCTTCTAATTGTTCGCAGATCTATTTTTTGATTATTTTTTCTAGGATCTTCCCAGGTATTGATGTTAAACCGATTGGTCTGTAGTTTCCTGGGTCTGTTTTTCCCCCTTTCTTGAAGATGGGAACCCCATCAGCCCTTTTCCAATCCTCAGGTACTTCCCCGGTGCTCCAGGATTTATGAAAGATGTGGTGTAATGGTTCTGAGATAACATCTGCCAGCTCCTTCAGAACTCTGGGATGTAATTGGTCAGGTCCCGGTGATTTATACTCGTGAAGGTCGGATAGGTGTTCTCTTACCATTTTCTTATTTTAATTTTTGTTTCGAGCTTGTCTTTTGCAGTAGTTTTTTTTTTGTATGTTCGGCTAAAGTTTCTTTTTGCGAAACTTTTTTGTGAAATAGCTGTGCCACCTCCATTCAGGACCAACCAAGTGTCATCCACAACTAATTAAATTTCTGTCCCATGCTCAGGTCTGAACTCAAAACTGCCAAGGACCCAAATAATTTGTATCTTCCAGAGCCCTTTGCCACTGCAGTTCCCCATTTTCAATAAACTGCCTAGGATGGTAATTGTTCAATTTTGTTTCATTGGACTTTAATAAGCGAGTAATCCAATGTCTCTACAAGGTTCTCTGGCATGGAATAAACATCCTCCAGATCACTGGGAAACTCCCCAAGTGCCATCTGAAAATCTGTTAGTTCCATCAAACATCTGCGCTTGACCATCTTAGCAGATCCCTTCTCTTTGCAAAGGTTTGTGCCCCCCCCCGTTAATCCTACTATCATGAGGAAGTGATTTGTTTACGACATGGACTGACAGAAAAGTCCGCCAGAACTGGATCATGACCCATATGTTCCATACCAACAAGGTATGGCCAGTCACATGAGTTAGGCTAGTGATGACTTGGGATCAGCCAATGATTACTGTGGTAGCCATGGACTCCTGAGCCACCCCCAATTCCAAGGAGGGGAAATGAAATCACTTAATACTAACAGTCTAGCTGAATCCATAACCTCCTCTGCAATGAAGTCAAGTAGCTGAATGAGGGATGCTGCTATACAACTGGGAGGATAATAGAAGTACCCCCACTTTCCCCTTTTGTCCCAGTATCATGAACAAGGCCTCACATCTTGCCCCTTTTGGAACAGTGCCCTCATAACATCTAAAATCTTTTGGTATACAAAAGTCCCATCACTTCCTCTACCTCAGGTTGGGACTGATGCAAAATTCAAAACCCATCTGCATAAAATTCTATGAGAGGGACTTCTCTTTATCCAGCCTGATCTTAGGAATATAGGCCAGGTCTAGTCTCTCCTTAATTACATAATGGACAAAGTAGGTTTTATTACAGATAGACTTGGCATTTAATAGCATCATGTTGAGTTGGAGTACTCAACAATCCAGCTACCTGTTTCTTGACTGGAGACTGGGAAGCTGGAAGTCTGAATTTTTAAAGCAAATCTCCAACAAAGAACAATAATGCAGATGCAATTCTTTTCTTTCTCTGTTTAGTATTAGTTGATCTTATATATTGTACATCAGAAGGGAAGATGATGTATGTCAAGAAATGTTCCTTGATAGTGCAATAGCATGATTATTTGTTACCGTTGCATATGAGTATGTTGCTCAGACTGTTTAAAACAGGCATATCCAATCCATTCTGTTCAAACAGACATCTCCAAGTCTACTGTTGTAGAAATGGCTAGTATGAAAGTAAGTGAAAGTAAAAAGTTGAAGATATAAATTACTATTTTTATTCTACTGTGCTGAAAAAGTTAGAAGTTAACCCTTTTTTCTTCTCTTCCCCCCTTCCCATATTTTTCCTCCCCCCCTTTCCCTTCCCCATTAATTTTATTTTGATTTGTATTTTCTATTATGAAAAAAAATCAACATCTCAACTTACTAGAGAGACAGTAGAATTCTATTTCTATAATACATTTGATGATGAATATCGTTTGATTATGGATATAATAAAAGTTGTAAAATGCTGTCTCCTTTAATTAAAACCAACAGCACTATGTAGTATCCATGGATTAAATGTTATTATATAGACAGAGCATGTATGTAAAATAAAAAAACTTCTGGCAACATCTATATGATCTTTCAATTAATGAATAAGCTGATTATGACTATATAAATCACAAGATAAATGTGTGATCCTAAACTAACAACACATGGGGCCCTTTGAGTATGGAGTACATTCAGTAAAACAAAACACATAACAATCCTGCTTCTGCATATAACTAAACTTCATTTTATATAATGAATTTCTTCCAAACCCTGAGGAAATGCTTAGATTGACAGAAATTTAAATATAGCTCTCAAAAGACTACTGATTGAAGGAGCACATGATTTTAAAAAAATCCTCATACAAATGAAATAAAACCAGAAAATCACAAGTTTACATAAGAGCGTTACTGAAGATCTGATTCATCTTTAGCAAATCAATGTAACTTGTTTTTCAGTGGGAGCTATAGAAATAGACCGTAAACATTTCATTTCGGAATAAAGTATTGTCCTTCATGAAACTGGTACAGGAGAAAATAGCCAAGCAAACAAGCAAATGAATCATTGAATAAATCAATCCAGAGTTCTCACTCAAAGTACAAATGATCAAGCTTAAATTATTGACCAGTGTGTGAAGTCCTAGAGTATGACCAGAGAAAAGACAGATGGAGTCAATTACAGCAGCAATGTGTGCACCATTGGAAGATTTGAAGGAGCAAGTTGGGGACAGTTCCTGGTCATGAAGACTCAACCCAACTTGATGGCACATAATCAATAAAATAGGTACAATTATAATCAGTAAGATTTTTTTAAAAAAAGTGTTCCCAATCACTGAGATCAATTCTTACCCCTATATGCTGGAAAAGCCAAGATCTCATCACGTTTGTAGCATGTTTTGGAAGAACGCCTCTTTTATTCTTTGATGATCCATCATCTTGATGCAAGATGCTTAAATCTTGGTTTAATTGTAACTGGAGCTACGCAATAGCACAACTTTATTAAAACACTATAGATATAATCAAAAATCCTTAATATTTCATAAGAATAATTAAAAAGCACACATTTTGCATTAAAAATAAGAGGAGTGCTACACATGTACTATTTCAGATTGTATGCAAAAGCTATATATGTCAGTGCTCGGTTCTTAACAGAACGTATGGAAAACTATCAGATTAGGAGAAAGAGTTCTAATCCTGTGCTCTTTAGATGTTTTCTATGTACAGGGAATTTTAGTGGAATTTTATTTTATGGGAACATTCAAGCATAGTATTCACAAACTGCATATTAAAATGGATGAATATGGATTCTCTACAACTCCAAGCAGTATTTATCCTTTTTATATTTATGAGGGAAAATCAGGAACACTGTAATGTGTGAAACAACATATTCTGTCAGGGACAAAGATGTGGCCCCTCTGATGTATGAGTATTCAAATTCTCTTTGTGCCCTCCGAGACCTCTCTGATTCTGAATACTGAAAATTAAACGCAGTTCCTGCCACTCATTTTATGGATAGGTATAGGAAGATGTTTTTTAACTTTCCCCCCCATTTCACATATAAAAAAAAATTAAACTCATTATATAGGCAACCTGTATTTTCAATGTATGTTTTCCACAGCTTATTAAAATCCTCACTTCTCCTCCCATTTTAAACCACTCTATGAAGTGAGTAAAACAAACCTGTGAATTCTGGATCCTGATGGTTCCAGGTGACAGTGTTTGTGTTACTACTTGTCCTTGAGGTGTGACCACTGTTACTGGCTGATATACTGTGCCACCTTAAAAGAATGCAGAAATCAAGTAAATAACAAAACAAGAAATAATAGATTAATTGATAGTTATTATTAGATACAGGATGTAGGTATGTTTAAAACATAAAATTATTTTTAAAATGCAAAACTGAATATTTTTTCCAATCCCATAGAATGTTTTACTTTTATGGACGCAGAAATTCAGGTAAGAGTCCCCCCAAGGTCCAAAAAGTCAAAATGGCAGTCTCAATAGTGCAACTGAAGCCCTGCTCCTTTGCATACATATGTGATGTCAGTGCATAAACAAAAGAGTCAGGGTTTTTATAGTGCTACCAAAACCAGCATTTTTACTTCTTTAACCTCCATTGCATACATAACTAAGAATGTTTTTACTATATTTAATATTATTAGGTAAATTAGTTATTATGCTGTGAATATTTTTAATTACTCAAATATATTTGTTTTGCCTTCATGTTTTTTTCATTAGCTTATAAGAAGAGTAAGACTAGACAAATTACTCTTTGAAAAGTAAAGCTATTGTTTAAAATGGTGCTCCATTCATCTCAAGATAAATAGGTAGTATGTATTAAAAATAACTTCTATAACATTTTTCTCTTTAGACACTATTAAACAGCCAGAAGCAAATAAACACATATATTCACACACTTAGATAAAATGCAACATTTGAATGGTTAGTGTTTCTTACCTGCAACTGTTGCCATAGTTACATTTCCCTGCTGCAGTGCTGATGCAGGTACCACAATCCCCTGGGGACTCAGTGTACCTGTGATGGCACTTTGAATTGGCTAGAAAGAGTAACAACAAGAATTACATAGCCTTATATTTATGAATGTTCCCATGATTTCAGTTAAATAATTTCAAATCAGAGAGAGAATTGAAAAAATACGATGTTGACTGACAAGTATGATTTAAAAAGCCTGTTATGAAAAAAATTCAATGAAAAGAATAAACAAGCAATAAATTGTGTATGTTGATTCTAAAAAGTTAGCTCTCTTTCCAATACTGAAATATTCATAGAATAGTTTAAACAATCATAATAATGTGGAATTATAATTAAACCACACACTAGTTCCTGTACCACTCAATATTACATAGTGAAAGCTTGAATTTGTATATCAAATTGCTAGACATAATGGGATGAATATTTGGAAATGGCTATTGGTACTTTACCTAGATTTTTTTTTTTTTTTAAAAAAAAGAAAGAATAAATAAATTGTACAGGCTTTCAGTCTTAAAGATCTCCTGAGCATTTTAAACCTAAGCAGCAAAAATGATTTTTTAAATATTTTGCTAAAGTTTAAAATATTTACTCAAATTAGTAAATCATCAAATAAAATACAATCTTATATATGAATTGCAAGAATGCAGTTTAATAAGTTGACATGAGGTTGGCATGAAATGTTCAATGAAATTCAATGAACAAATTTCTAAAAACATATATCAATATTTTTAGACTATTCATAATTAACGTTATTTTTTCATAGTACTTATACTATTCCAATTTCAAGCATCTCTGAGCAGCACACAACATTCCTACCTCCATCCCCAAAAATAAAATAAAATAATAATAATAATGAATAACTAAATCCAAATCAATATCAAAAACAAACCATCAAAAGCAAAGGTCAAACCAAAATAGTTGGTATCAGTCATGCAGCTGAAGTCAAAAACATGTTGAAATAAAACATTTTAAATTTGTTTATGGAATTTCGGGAAAGTGGGAGATGCTTGGACCTCTGGGGGAAATGTATCCCCAAAGGTAGGGGCTCTTTCAGAGAATTCCTGTAATAACCACAAGAATGATTAGAACTTTCAGGTTATCTCTTGAGGACCAGACTGAATGGGAAGAATCAATTTTGCAAGGTATTGTCCAATATATCCAGGCACTGCACTGTTGAGGATTTTTTTACCTTTAACACCAGCATTTTGGATTGGCCCTGACAGCCTATTCGTAAGCAATATAGTGCCTTTAGTAGAGATATAATAGTGGGGAAGGGTTAGAACAGAATGTCCATTAAATCCAAACTGGATTTTATGCTTGTGTTGTTTATCTGTGCATAAATTATCATACAGAGATTTATTTACTATTGCATTTTATCTTCAATAAATTCTGATCCAATAAATCAAGAATTTAATTTGGCAGACCTCATTCTGAAATGTAAATACTACTTAAATTTAAACAGAAATAGTAAATTACATAACTATTTAAACTGGTGGAAAAATCACCCAACTTCCATTTACTATTATAAAAATTCAATTGCCAATTGGGACACATTTTAACAATAAAAATATTATGCAGCAAAATAAAGGCCCATAGGTTAGTGATGGACATTTATAATCCGTATTGTTTCAGGTTAGCTTTTCATGCCTTCAGTTAATGCAATGGTGGTTGATCTTTGGATTGCCAGTGGCCTTGCTTAATATACTTTGGGTGATTAAGACAAATTTTTCAATTTTATTTTATTGGATTTATAGGGGAAGTTCAAGATTTTTGTTGTTGTTTAATTATGTGAAGCCATAAGGCTTAAACATTAGTGTTTCTCCGTGTTTCTCATCTTAACAGGGCAGAAAACAGTGCAATTAATACTGTGTTAAGAGGTGCTTGGATGTGCAAAAAGGGGGGTAACAGTCTGTTTCCAAATTGACTTAGTCTAATATGCAAGCAGATTTTCTTAAATTCCTCTCCCAACATACGTAAGTCAATCAGGACAAGAGGCATTTCATGAGATGAGTGATTCCTGCTCATTAATATTTTTTCACATGGTCCCTTATGCCTATGGTTTTTTATGCTTAGATTTAGCTATTGAATCAGAAGAACTTTATGCTCTTAAATGTTGTGTATATGATGGAGAGCTATCAAGAACTTTCTTCCTGCTCTGAGAAGTTCCCTATCATGGACTGGGCCATTATTTGCAATGAGATGAACAAAGCCAACCCAAAACTTAGGCCAAGGAAACAGTGCCAAAGAAGTGTAATGATAATTGTGTCAATTTTGCTCTACTGCTCACATTTTCTGGTGACTCTTTCCATGAAGACAGCTGCTCCAGCAAATCCAAGCTATCTTTATCATGTTTAAAGTTGCTGGACTGCAGACAAAGAGTTGACAAATTATAGTCATTCTTTAAGAATTACAATTTCATGTACCGGATTACTAAGAACTGCACAAGGGAGACCTGGTATTTTTAATAACATCACAAAGACTTAAACATTGCTAATTGGCAAGTCATAGATCATCTATTTTAAAACTGCATGGTTATGCATTCAATCAAATCATTAAGATGGCATATTATACTTAGATTTTTAAAAATCTACGTTTATTTATCTTGAATCTTTTTGGAATATGATACATTACAAAACAATTAAGAAAATAAGCTTCATTTATCATGAAAGTTACCTGGGGTTGTACTGGTGAATAAGGACTCCCAGATTCCCCACTTAGCAGAGTTTCACTGTTCATTTTAGTCTTTAGACATGCAATATAACGACTACAAAAATCTTTACAGAGCTCATTAACTTTTTCTAGCTCAAGCAGATGAATTCGTAAAACCTGAATTGCTTTTACCATCTGAGAATAAACAAACAGAATTTTAAAACAACATACAAAAATGTCTACGCGTCATTTACATTTATTGACAATACTGTATTTATATCCAGTCTCAGTGACAGAGTTTGCAATAAAGTTCAGTGACTGTAATTTACAACCATTAAAATGAAAGATGTTATTAAATACACAGAATAAAGTCACAAAACAATAATAGTAGTAATAATAAT